GACCATTTCAATAGGCTCCCCCAGGCCTTGCCTGGTTCTACTTTTACGGCCTCCCCTGCCAACATATTGTCCAGGAGGCAGCCAGGGGCTCTCTAAAATATAAAGCATATGTAATCATACTCCCTCTCCAAAGTTTGAATGGTTAACTTTCAAACAAAGACAACAAAATTAGTTACACTGCACCACTCAGGTCCTAGCTGCACTTCTGCCACAGATGTATGCTGTTTTCTCTATGGAATTATGTTTCTATAAGGGTAAGTGAATAACAGAAAATGGAAAACAACTCATCGCACACCCAATGTCACCTTTTGAAGCGGTTTTGCAATGTCATCAAGTTCTTGAAGTACTTACTTCTTTCTGATTTTCTTCAAATCTGGCAAAAGCAACATAAAGGTGTTCATCCATGTGTTCATCTCCAAAGAATTCCACCGCTCTCTCGTATACTTTCCGGGCATGGGCAAAGTAAGCATGTTTCTCTTCGAAGCGGGCGTACTTGATCCAGTTTTTCACATCAGGGTGCACAAGGACAAAGCGCTCATAGATGGTGCGGGCCCGCTCCACCTCCTTGTACCTCAGCTCAAAGTTGATGTAGGAGTGCCAGGCCTGCTCCTCAGGCTGCCATTCCATCCAGCGCTCAAACACTTGCCGGGCTCCCGGCACATTGCCCAGCATCTCCTCCATGTACGTATACTTGTACCTGTAAGAGAGCCATCCGAAAACAGCAGTGAGGGTGACTTACGGGAAAAAAGATCTTTGGAATCTCTAGACCTTCCTTTGTTAAATGGGAGGAAGATCAAAGTTTTATCTTGCCCAACCTTAAATCAAACATGTTTTCTTATTTAAACATAAACCTGAAAAATGATGCACCACTGAGGAAAAATGGGCATGTTTTCTTAAAAATTGCATAGTTCAACAAGAAGTTTCTTATGCACAAAAGATTACAAAGTTTTAGCTTTGATTTCTTATTAAACATTAGGATTATGACTTAACAGACTATGAGACATTAAAAAGCATTTAGAGTATGTTTAAAGAAAAAATAGGATGTTAATTACACACAATGATGACAACTATGTAAATAAAATAAATATACAAAAGTGTGGAACTTTTCTAGTCTACAAATGCTGTTTTGTTAGATGAGGAACTTACCAGAATTGGTTGACTCTCGGCAGAGTTGTTATGGCCCGGTCCCAGATGTTTCGGGCGTGGTTGACTTGGCGGTTCTTCATTTCCATTTCTGCATATTTCAGCCACAGTGTGATATTTCGATAGTCTACATCTAAAGCACGCTCGTATATGGATCGAGCCCTTAAGAAGATTTGGAGGGTATGAGAAACAGTACATACAACATGTGTAGCAGTTAGTTCAAGCTACTGCATCTTACTGAGCATTTACCATAGCTGGGCTCTGGGGATAAAACATGAGCAGATAGGATATTCTCTGGTACCTTACAAAGTCTACAAGAATGACAGATGAGCATGTAACTATAATGCAACATGATAAAACATGATTGTCAGATCTACATGGGAAGCAGGGTGGAAGAAGCAATGTCTGGAGGAACAGTCTGAGGAGTAGGTGTCACCAGAGTTGTGAACTTGAGGAGAGTTCTGGCTGGCCAGGAGGCCCATGCTGGTGGGAAGGGTGCTACTCCACTGCATAGCACTGCCAAGTGTCACAGCAGGAGGAATGATGTGTTCAGGGAGCAGCAAGTTACACATGACAGCGGAGGCAGAGGAATGAAGGTGAATCCAGAAAGGCTGGATGACAGGAAGGGATGGGTTGCAATTTTTGTCTCACTGAGTGTTGGTTTTCAGCAGAGTACTTTTACTTTTGATATCTCAGTAATATAGAAAGCAGACAAATACAGCAGACTGCACGTTTCTCTATTTATAGTGTGTTGGCAAGACCCAGATCCCTCATTCCCTTGGATCAATATTTTAGTGCCTCTGAGGCCTCTCAGAGTAACCATGGGGTTCCATGGGACACAAGTTGACAACAGTCACCAAAGGCACACTCTGTAACTTGTGCCTTAACTTTTTCTACTTTTTAACCTGTTAATGTATGACATCTTTGCACATGAAATTACACTATCAGCAATAATCTCTGCTTTATTTTTGTGTTAATTTGTGACGTCCTTATATACAAAATTGTACTCTCAATAATTTTACCTTTGAATTTCCTTTAGACTTTCTTCCCATTGTGCGTACTTTATCCAGTTACTAATCACAGTCCTGTTTTTTCTTATGTTATCTTCAAAAGTCTGGGAGAAGGCAAGAAGGTTAAGTTAATGGGAAAATGACTACAAATGACACCACCCTTTGTCTATTGTAAACTTCGTACTAAGAAGGTATTCATTTTATTCTTATTTAAGAAAACTACATCCAGGCACCCTTGAGGAATAAGCAACTCACTGTGAGAGGTTACAATCACAAATAGCTTTTAAAGTCTTCCATGTAAATACAGAGAAAACTATTGCTATCAAGAATTAGCAGATTTGTTGCTATTTTCTCCTGTTGCTCATGACACCATATACTTTAGTATGTTCTTCAGAAGAAAACATTTTTGACTATTACTTTAAATCCTCTTAGTAATTCTTAGAATTTTATATGTTTCATTGAAAATAATAATTAAGCAGATACAACTGGATTAGTGGTTTAAAATAATCCGTACTCTAGAGGTCTAATCAAACCCCACAGGCTTCTCATGGTTCCTTCCAGATGGCAGCTCCTGAAGCACAGACAGAAATGCCCAGTGTAGCCCTGCCAGGTGGCCTATACCGCTCTTCCAAGTGTCAATGGTTCCATCTGTCAAATAGCCACCCATCTTAGTTCAACACCAAAAATCATGTCTCTGGCAGATTTAATTTCTTTTAAACAGACCACTCATGGTATATTTTAAACCAGTCAATGAAATGCAATAATCAATAATATTATTCAAGTGGTTACAAACACTAATCTCCTCATATGTTACAGACTCACACCAATTTGACAGACTGAAAGATACCATGCTGACTGACCTTCCTTTTCCTTAGCTTGTAATCGTTTAATTCTTCTTCATCTGTGATCTTCTGCTGAGGTGGAGGTGGCAGAAGCTCAAGTTCTCTTTCCTTGGCTTCTCTTAAGAGTTGTTCAGCAGTTATCTGTACTTCAGCTGGGGCTTTGTTTTTTACCTTTTAGGAAAGAAGACATTTCTATTTTTGGTAGAAGCTCTTTGTACAAGGTTTAAGAAACAAGCATACACTTTTTAGGATGTGAGCTTCTTAAGTATGATTACAAGATGCCTTTTTTGTATGACATATTCACATTTCTCCATGAGGCTAATTAAAATTTGTGTTTTCTATCTCATACATAGTATGCATTATAAATAGTTAAAAGTCTCAAGAGAAAAAGGTGACAAAAATAAAAAAGGAAATTTTCCCTTTTAGCCGAGCATAATAAACTCTATGGCTATCTAGGTAATTCTCACTACAGGCTTTGCTTTATCAAGATGTAAACAGCCTCGATTTACAGAATTCTTCAACTTATTTTAATCCTCCTAGTGGACAACTTGGTTGGGTTCTTCATAATACTTTAAGTCAACTGACTGATTGATTGATGTGGTCTCGGTCTCACTTTGTGGTGCAGGCTCACTAGCCCAGGCTGGCCTCAAACTCATGTTGATTCTCCTGCCTCAGCCTCCCAAGTGCTGGCATTATAGGCATGCACCACCATACCCAGTATTTTAAATCAATTTAAACTTATTCTGTTATCATTAGACTCTAAGTTTCTTGAGATCTCAGAGCTATGCTGTCCAACACAGTGGCTACAAGTCGTTTTGTGAGGCCAAAGTGGGATGGGCTGTAAGTGTAAAATACACACTGGCTTGTAAAAGTTAGTATACAAAAAAAGACCAAATTACCTCATTAAACTTTTTTATATTGATCACATGTTGAAATTATATTAGATATATTAGATTAAGTAAAATATATTATTAAAATTAATGTCACCTGATTTTGCTTTTTAAAATTTGGCTATGAGACAAGTTTAAATTACATTATGTAGCTGTCTTCCAATTTTTGTTGAACCAGTGGTGCCCAATAAAATTTTATGGAATCGAAAAGCCAGGTATGGTGGTGCAAGCATGGAGTCCCAGCTACCAGAGAGGCTAAGGCACGTGGATAATTAGAGCCCCCTGGGCAACATGGTGTGACCATATCTCGACCAAAAAAAGTAGTTATGGAATTGGCTTATAAGAAATATGACAATATCATGTGTGGAACAATGATAGCTTTTATTTAACGAGTGCTAAGTGTTTTATATACGAACCTGTGAAAGTCATCTAAACAAGATGCTTAAAGGTCAGGCTCGAGGGAGCTCTGAGCTGAAAGTAACAGACTGGAGGAAAAGTATCTGTAAAAGCTGAGGACCAGGCCTGCCACGTATTCAGTCCTTGGTCAGCATCAGGCAACGATGAAACCATCAAATAAACCCGCCGTTTAAGTAGCTCATATTATGCCATCTACTCTCAAACTCTCCACTATCTGCTGCACTAACTCCCATCCAGCCTTTACTTTCAGCTGAAATGTGATGTCCTCAGCGAGGCTGACCGAAGACCCCTCGCTCAGCCCTGAGCCCAGCTACACTGGCGAGGATGCAAGACACAGCAGTTTGAGTTTCCCTTGGGTACTGATAGATGCAAAGCTCCTCCTCCCTCGAAAGCAAGCTCCGCCCGCGAGTAGCGCTGTGCGGGGGCACGACCTCTGGAGATGACAGCATCCCTCAGGTCTCCCCCTTGGGCCCGGGGGAGCCTCCCGGAACAGCACTCCTCCGCCCGGGCATCCTCTCCTGGCCTCTGCCGTCCCCGCCGTCATCTACCTTGGCCACCTTGGGAATTCGCTGCTTCCCGGCCGCTGTGGAGGCCGCCATGTTGGCGGGGCCAACCTCAGGGGATCTACGCCCAAGCCAGACACCAAAAACTCGCTCCGAGTGCTCGCCGACTGCCGAAGTTAAAAACAAGGTGGGCCCGTAACCGGAAGCGGAACTTACCGCTGACCTCTGACATCACGCACGCACCGCGACGGAGGCGGTGCCGTTTCCGTGGTAACCAGGCCGGGCGTCCTTCCGGAGTTGGAGTGGAGTGAGGCCTTTGGAGAGGTGGGTCCGCGGCTCTTGCCGCGGGGCAATGTTACTGAAAACGAATTTCCCTGTTTTTAAGTTCACTGATAAGTATATAATAAATCCATTTTCTTTTGAGAGAAAGGAGAGAGAGAAAGACAGACTGAGAAACTGAGAGAGGTTAAAGTCCTGTTATGCCCTCCTATTCCAGTCAGCATTTCAGTGTCTTTGTAGAACTTTTCTCCACTGTTGCTGCCATTAAAGATTCTGCTCAGAAAGGATTGGGAAACCACATCACTAGTATGGAGCTTCTGAAAGCCTTAAATGGTTGTGTTCGTTTGAAGCAGAAGAAAAGGTGGAATACCTGGACAGAGCACTTGGACACGGAGATAGGAGCAAAAGCAGCTTTGTCAGTGTCTCAGCAAGGGATTTCTGTCGCCTTGAGAGCATCGAACAGAAGTTTATTTTCATTTTTATACTTTTATCTTTCTATGGAGCCTTTTTTCTTTTTCTTTTTTTTTTTGGTACCGGGGATCGAACTCCGGTCCTTGCGCTTGCGCAGCAGGCGGCGAAACCACTGAGCTAAATCCCCGGCCCAATGGAGCCTTTTCTTATTGGAGAGGAAACAGCAGCCAAGGATGCTCAAGGAAATAGCAGGCAAGGGTTACACAAGCAGACGAGCAGAAAGGGAGCAGGAAGTTCTGGCAGGACTTTTCAAGACCCTTACGCTCTGGAGAATTTACAACATAGCTGTAGTCATGACTACTGAGTGCCTTTTACAATGGGGTGGGGGTTTCCTATCAAGACTTTCCGTCACTGTGATGAAATACCTGAGGTATCAGCTTACCAGGAGGAAAGGTTTATTTTGGCTCACAGTTTCAAAGGTTTTGGTGCATGGCTGCGTGGCCCTATTGCTTTGGCCTGTGGCATCCCTGTATCTCCTGGTGGGAGTATATGACAGAGGAGGAGACCTGAAAGAGAGAGAGAGAGAGAGAGAGGGAGAGGGGGAGGGGGAGGGAGAGAGAGAGAGAGAAGGCCCAAGTTCCATTATCCCCTCAAGGGCAATCCCTGGTGACTCAGCTTCCTTCCAATACACCTGTCCTCCTAAAGGTTCTGACACCTCCCAGGAGTGCTGTAGGCAGATGACCAAGCACATGTGCTTCTGGGGGATACTTCCAGCCATACCAGTGGCTGAGCTGACCCCTCAGGGAGACTTTTCCTGCACTCATTTGGCCACAGACTTTTTTTTTTTTTGTACTGGGGATAGAACTCATGTCCTTGCGCTTGCACAGCAGGTGGCAGAACCACTGAGCTAAATCCCTGGCCCCCACAGAACTTTTTTTTGGTCTCCAAGTATCTCTCAAGATTGCTGTCCTCAGGGCTCCAACTTGGGGAACTCTTTGGGAGATGGGCAGCAGTTCTCAGTATTTTCCTACACCTCCTGACCACATGTTGTAGGCAAAGTGGGTGATTAAATATAATGGACACTGAATTGATAAATAAATCCTTTTAGTGTTTTTCAATCCTGTTGTTAGAGTATTTTGAAGCACATTTGTTGGAAACAAAGAATACAGTTTTAGGGATTTCTAGACAGGCGAAATATCAGAAGCTTCATTGTCCAGTGCAGAATCACTTCACATGGCTTGTGGTGACGGTCAACACAGACATTCCCAGGGGACAGTGTGTCACAGCAGTATTCCCATACGACTTTCTCTCTGACCATGTGGAAATTTAGTTAATGCCTGGTTTTCTGAGTTCTGTAACTGAAGAACTTGTCATCTCAGATTAATGTGTACTTTTTTCTCTCTTTGGGGGACAGGAGACAAAATGTCTGTACTCACTTCTCCCAGAGGAAAGGTAGAAGTGGTTCACTGCCGAAGAACAGAATCCCAGGATATTTATTGTATCCAAAAACTCATTAGAAAATTTACCCAGAAGCTGTTTGGGAGGCTTAATATCGTCTATCTTCTGTAAGTACATAGCTAAGTAAGTTCAAACATGTTCATCAGTGTTGTCACCCACCAGGAAGGAACCCCACTCCTTCCTTGTGGGAGTTAGCAAGGAAGGGGGCAGCCGACTGCACACTGAAAACATGTGACATGAAATCTCTGGGGACAAGAGTCTTTGTGTCCTGTAACCATGTGCAGATTGCAAAGGCTTCTTGCAGGCTTTGGATTCAAGAAGTCTTGGGTCAGATCTCAGTGCCCCCACTCATCAAGAGTCACTTGAACAGGTTAGTAATGTTAACAACCAGATTCATGGCGTTTATCTTATGTCAGGCTCTGTGCTATGCAAACACTGTCTGTCTTAGTTACTTTCTCATCGCTGAGGCAAAATACCTGACACCCAAAGTTAAAGACGGAAAAGTTTATTTTAGCTCGCAGTTTGTAGACGTTTCACTTAATAGTTGCCTGGCTCCAAGACAGGGTGGCATGGAAGAGGGGCATCACAGAGGAGAAACAGTTTATGGTGGACAGAAGACACCAAAGCAGTGAAATAGTGGAGAAGCAGCAAACAACGGCAGCAGCCCTCTTCTTATCCCTTATATTGTGTCCAGGCTACATGCCCTTTGGGTGGGTAGCACTCACACCTAGGGTCGGTTTTCCCATTACCCACACCCAGGGCCAGGGATTTAGCTCAGTGATTCCACCACTTGCCTCCTGCCTCGAAAGCTCGAGGTCCCAAGTTAGATTCCTGCTACCAAAAAAAAAAAAAGTGTGTCATTCCCATTACCCACACCCAGAACTATGCCAAACCAATCAGTGGAATAATTTAGTAATCACACACCCTTGATCCCAGCATCACACCCTTAATTGCAGTATCACACACCTCTGGAAAGATCCAGCCACCTCTGGAAAGATCCAGCCACCTCTGAAAAGCCCCACCTCTGACCACATGGGGCTCTGAGGGGACATCTAGACAAAAGCCATATCACTCTCTTACTGGATGATTCTTACTTTTCTCTAAATCCTACTGTTGTGCCCATTTTAAGCTAGAATGGGAGGCCTGTGCATGGCCAGCCTTCACAAGAGTGCCAAGCCTAGATTTGCTCTTAACCACTGTTCTTTAAAATACGAGCTGATTCTTTAAAGATCCTTTTTCTTCCTGTTTTGTTTGTTTCTTTATAGACCTGTGGACAGCAGAATGTAGATATCTTTTAATCTGTCCCTCATTATTTTTATTGAAAATAAAATATTACATAGACTAGTATTTTCTACTTCATAAGGCTTTGTATCAAGCAGAATTAAAGTGTTTACACTTAGGCTAACCTAAGACATTAAAATTGATAGTTTCTGATTAGCAGACTAATGAATGTGGTATAAATTGGCACAATTTTACTAGAGAGCAGTAGGGTAACATGTATAAAATATGTCGAGATTATACACACATATGTCCATATATACATATACGTATATACACACACATACATATATGTATATATATTTTCCTGCCAGAAAATGTATACATCAGGAAAAGAAAAACTTGTATAAATATTTAATACTAAATTTATTGAGACATCCTGAGATTAATACAAGTTACCTTTGACCTCTACAGTTATAAGAGCTACTCAAAGTAGTCATTAACTTTTAGACATTTTTTAGTATAGGCAACTGCTGATGTGTGTGTACATTTTTTGGCAGACCCTGTATATATAAAATGAAGTGATTTCATTTTTTTGGCATTATGGTGGACCAAGCACCTTATGATGTCCACCAGGTGGAAACAACTAGTGTTGACACACACACACATACAATACAATCATAAAAGTGAAAGACTGTGCAGAGAACATTATCAAACGGGAATCAGAAACTTCACAAAATAAGCCAGCTTTCTCGTTAAGGATTTTTGCCACGTATCAGAAATCTTATGTTTCTGTTTTGACAGCTTTGTAAAGAGCAGAAGATAATTACTCCCTTTACCTAAGGAGGGAAATGTGTGATCCTTTAGTATAAAACTGAAATGTTCGTTGTGAGGAAGGACAAGATAGAAACCCCCTGCACAGAAGTGGACAGTAAGGCAGCCAGCCACCTCCAACCTCAGCACGGTATAAGGGGATAAAGGCTCCCCTGAGAATTCATAAATGCATGCTGATATGAGACACATGTTAGATATCTGTATGGTCCCACAAATCTTCAAGTTGGGAATTTAATTACAAATAGTCACAGAAGAGTAGTGTATCCAAGAGACTGGGTTAAACAATTGAATTGCAGAGGAGGTCTGAAGGGTCGCAGCCTTGTCCTAGACCCCACATGACACCCAGAGGTAACATTCCAAGAAGCACAAGCTCAGTCAGAAATCAAATCACACAAGGAAACGTGCACCACTAGTGAGAGCCAATGATAGCAGAAATTATACAGGAGAATCAGACTTGCAAAGACTTCAGAAACTAATGCAGATAATATAAAATAACTATGTTTACTATGTCTAAAATGAAAATGTAAGTTGTCGCAGTATGTGACCGAGGTTGGTATGGAGGATGAAAAGATTACTCAGAGATGAGACTTAGTTCAGTCACCGAGAAGCCCAGAGGGGCTATTTCTCCACCTAGAGTGCCCAGCTATTAGGGTGACAGTGGGAGAAGAAAAAACTCCTAGGCCAAGAACTCTCTGGATTTTATTTAGAATATCAGTGTAAGAGAAAAAAGCAGGAGAAAAAGCAGTTTAGGCCAAGAGCTGTCTCAAGGCTAAGCAGTTTTTCTTGGGGAAAAGGGAAGGACCAATGGCCAGACACAACATACTTTACGAAAGTAAACTTCTTGTTATTTAACCATTCAATTCTCACACAGCCTGTGTGCTTTTGCCCCATATTTTAACCATTCACTCCTCATAGAGCCTGTGTGCTTTTGTCCCACAGTTTAATCATTCAGTATATTCATTCACTCCTGGCCAGATCCCCCACAATAAGCTTAAAACATGACCAAAGAACAAAGTGATCACAAAATGAATAATCAGGTTTGAACAAAAGTCAAATTGACCATCTGGAAATGAACATACAGTTGAAATTAAAAGCTCAGTGGATGACTTAAACATGAGAGATGCAGTTAAAGAGAAAAATAACAAGCTAGAGGATCAATACCAGTAAATTGGGCAGAATTCAACACACATGCACATGTGCACACAAAATAGAGACAAGACATATGAATGGGACACCGAACATATTAGGTTTAATAAGACTTCTAGAAGGAAGCAATAGAAAGTCAGTATATGAAGATGAAATTACTAAGAGTTTTTCAGAATTGTTGAAAAGCACCAATTCTTGGATCCAGAAAATTCAACAATCCCAAACCCAAACCTGCAACTAAATACATCATAATGAAAGACAAAACAGCATAGTTTAAAAAGATTTTAAAAATAACTAGAAATAACTAGGAAGAAAAGAGCAATTACCTACAAATAAATAAGGGATGATTTCTAACTGACAACAGTAGCCAGAAGATGGAAGAATGACTGAAAAATAGCATCAGCTAGAACTGTACACCATGAAACAATTCTCCAAGACCTAGGGGAAACAAATGCATTTTTCATACAAAAAGCAAAATGGTTTACTGGTAAGACTCTGAGTAAGAATAAATTCCTCAGAATATGCTCTAGGGAGAAGTGAGAGTATCTGAGCTGATAAACCCAAGACATAAGAAGGAATGTTAAGAAAAATATGGACAAATATGTGGGTAAAGATAAGAAAATATAAATGTGGGTACATATAAGAAAAAAGATAATGACATATACAAACTGATATTAATAATGACTATAAGATATAAAACACGAGAACTAAAATATAGGACAAAACAACATGTAAATTGGGGGGGCATAATTAGTGTTAAGGTTTTTTTTTGTTTTTATTTTTTTGGTACCAGGGATCAAATTCAGGACCTTGTGCTTTCAAGGCAGGTGGTGGCACCACTGAGCTAAATCCCCAGCCCCTAGTGCTAAGGTTTTATCCGGGTACTCGAAGATATCCACTCCCTTCCATGAAACATAATCTTGGTATTTATGCTTTAGTTCTGTCCCTTCTCACTAAGTCAGGGCTGGCCCTGTGTAACCAATAGAAAGAGCAGTGGGGTAATATGTGACTTCAAGTCTACATACAGGGAGTCTTGCGAATTCCTCTGGGTCTCTTGCAATGCCCCCCTCAAGTCCCAGCTGCCACGTTCTAAGTTTGAGTCAGCTGGTGACATTCAGGTGATCAGCTGAGCAAATGGAACAGCCACAGTCACCTACTAACCATATGAGTGAGTCATTTTAAACATGGATTCTTCAGGATTTCTCTTCAGGATTTTTCCACCACTGTTTGACTATGATCACATGAACACAGTTAACCCACAGAACCACAAATGATGATAATGGTTATTTTAAGCCACTAAACTTTGGGGTGGTTTGTTCACATCTGTTGATAAATAGAACAGAAGGTGAAGATTTTGATAATGTCATATGATAAGTTTGTTACAGTTGAATAGGCCAAAAGTAGTCCAGGTTCTTGTGGATAGCAAGGAAAGAATTGCCAAGCATACACCTCTTAGTAAGTGATAAGTAGCTATGTTTATTAAGATCATGGGATGGTATCCGCAGGAACAGAAAGAAGGGCAAAAAGAAAAAGGAGGAAGAGAAACCCTCCATCTCTCAGGCTTCCAGTAAAGGGTCAGCTGATTCCAGGTGCCTCCTGTTCCATCTCACTGGTGTGGATGATCTGCCACCTCAGGCATTGCAACCTCCTAGACATAATCATAGATTATCAGTAGGGGTTTGTTGTATTTATAGTTGAATAAAGGGAGGGGCGTGGCTCCCTCAACTTCCCTGTTTCTAACTGTACTAAGTTCACCTGGTTAGGCTAATCATTAAAAAATAAGTATAGAGGCTGGGATTTAGCCCAGTAGTTCTGCTGCCTACCTTGCAAGTGCAAGGTCCTGAGTTCGATCCTTGGAACAACAACAACAACAAAAAAGTATAGCGATTATAACCTGTGAATTCTGAAT